GATCGGTGAGGAATTTAGCTTGTTCTGCTTTTCAGTCAAATAGATCACATAGAAATTGGAAATTAGTTGACTGTAAGCATCGTAATAAAGCAAGGACTGTAATCTGTAGGACAAATAAGAAGTTTTTTTTTTAACTTTTTGGTAACATGAATTCCTTTCAAATTTGGAAATTACTAAAAGACTCGGGATGTGCTCATAAAGATTCTATAGTATTTGACATTGATCCAAACGATATAAATCTTTTTTTTGCAGACAACAACTCAATTTCAAATGATGATTTTTATTTTACACAATTTATCGAATCTACTTCTTCATTTTCTTTTAGTTGTGCTCCTGTGAATGATATTAAATCCAGATCTGATGAAATTACTATAACTTTTATAAAGACATTTATAAAGATTTATACAATTCAGATTATATTTTGCATTTGATGAATTCTTCAGCGATATCAAAGGTGGTGGAAGTCATCTTGGAGAATCAGATTTTAGATATACGTCAAACTTGATTTCACACTCCCAGTATGCGTTTCGTTGAGGACACAACCCATTTACGTTTACAAGCTAAACTTTGCACATATTGTTGGAAATTTGAGAGATAAATTTAAATTTTCGTTATCTACCTGTAGCCTAATTTATTCATATATGAAAGATAGATCACAGTTCGTCGTTGCTAATGGTAGTCGGTTGGATACCATTTCTCTTCACAGTGGTAGAGAAAGAACCTTATACTGCAAGAACGTTTTAGTTTCGTTGTTCTATACAGGTATGTCTTCAACAATTTTCATTTTAAGCATCTACCAATTACCTTAAAATAAATTGTTCTAAAACTAAGGCTATTATGTTTGGTATGTTTATGAACATAGATCCAGTTATCAATATTCATTTTTTTATAAATCATTAATTTGTTTTTATTCATCAATTGTATACTTTACAGATGTACGAAATGTTTGAAATTACAAAAACATTTGGTCTGTTCCCAGAACCTGCAAGAATGTACAATTTTTACTACGATAGAAAATTTTCCTTTATGATATCGAAGAAAATGGTAAAAATTAGTAGATGGTATAATAATTACAAGGTAGGGTACAGCTACCAACTGATTACAATTTTTTCTCCAGGTGGCTTGTTCCATCAAATCAAAATACAAATTTTGTGTATGTGTGTGTATTGTTTTGAATACTATGTCAAATAAATTCAAAATAAATTGAAATATATTCAAATTCAATTGAAATGAAAATTATGTTTTTAACACGTTCGTCTGGAAGTAATTACTTTGTTATGGATGAAACAAACATTTGATGGTATTCCCTACTGGATTTTGTAAAGAAACCATAACCTTTCATTCATTTTTCGCGTTTTTAGTTTTGTGTTGAAAAAATGTCAAATAAACGCAAACACTTGTTGCGTTTTTATTTTATTTATGGCAGAAGAGACCACACGTGCGTAGTTGCTTTTTTGTTATTCACCTCAAGCTGCCCTGCCTGCCCTACCTAGTTTTTACTACGATAACGAAATTTCCTACATGTTAGTAAAATCTAGTAAATAGTAAAATCTAGTAGATTCTTGCAGTACGGGAACAATAGTAAGCAAAAAAAAGTACCAAAACAAAAAAGAAAACATAGACCGGAACTTCTGGTTCAATAACAATATTCGATTGCAACAAAAATAAAGAAAAAATATATACATCAATGAGTATTATTTATATATGCGTATACAGTCGAAACCGGATAATTAGGATAGAGTATTATTTTTTTTTTTCGAAAAAAATTCAATGGTTTTTAAGAGAAATTTTGTAATCTGATTGAATTTAAAAATGCAAATCACTATGTAATCGACAGCTCATCAAGCAAGAATTTATAATAGTATTTCTATCATATATTTAAACAGAAATATAAAAACAAAAATAATTATTTACATCAGCGAGCGTTTACAGAACACAACACTATAGCAATTTTAATGATGGAAACGAGAGCAGATATTTCACCTGTAATTAAATATGAATCACAAAATAATTTATAAAATGCCATTAATGACAAATCGATTACATTTGACTTGTATATTTGAAATCGACTGTATATCGAAAAATACATTAGCTCTGTCTGTTTACTCGATATTTGGTAACAATTGTTACCATGATCCATGGCAAGATCTATTAATAAGGTCACCAAGATAGCAATCGAAATCGGAAAACAGCTGTTTTTTCTCAAGTCTAATGTCAAAAATTTCGACTTTGTTTACGTTTTAATAATGGAAAACAATTCACAATAATGCATTTTGTAATCGACATTCACGCAATGTAGTCAAAATCGAAAGCATTTTGACAGCTTTTGGCCTTATCGGACATAGGTGCCCATCAGTATACTTTAAAGTAGCTGCTTACTCACACGCATTGTTATGCTCTTTCAGTCAGTCGTTGTTTGACAGGCAACAAATGAACACATGCTGGGGTGCCCGCACGACTCCGTGTCCGCACAACTAGAAAATCGACGAAATAACACTTAGGGTTAAAAGTGTTTCAGTATATTTGGATTTTTATTTTATTATTCAAAATGCGTTTTGTATGTTTAAAAACAACAGAACAATTGCTGTTTTTTTGAAAGAATTAAATATTTGATAATTATCGTAGTATTTACTATTAATATTTAGTATTACAATATGATTATTATCTCGGTATATGCTACTTTATATTCTTTTTTAGATTTTTGTGACATATACAATTTGTAATTCATATAAAAACATTTTTAATAATGATTTCAATTATATAATAACAAAAGTTAAATTCTTCAGTAATTTTTCCGACCACCAAAATGTACACACAATTTTGTTCGGTACTGTTCTGTTTTCTCTCACACATACTAACGCATTTTAATTTTGGGCACCTATGCTGTCAAACAACGACTGACTGAAAGAGCATAACAATGCGTGTGAGTAGGCAGCTACTTTCAAGCATAGGTGCCCAAAATTAAAATGCGTTAGTATGTGTGAGAGAAAACAGAACAGTACCGAACAAAATTGTGTGTACATTTTGGTGGTCGGAAAAATTACTGAAGAATTTAACTTTTGTTATTATATAATTGAAATCATTATTAAAAATGTTTTTATATGAATTACAAATTGTATATGTCACAAAAATCTAAAAAAGAATATAAAGTACATAGGTGCCCATCAGTATACTTTAAAGTAGCTGCCGACTCACACGCATTGTTATGCTCTTTCAGTCAGTCGTTGTTTGACAGGCAACAAATGAACACATGCTGGGGTGCCCGCACGACTCCGTGTCCGCACAACTAGAAAATCGACGAAATAACACTTAGGGTTAAAAGTGTTTCAGTATATTTGGATTTTTATTTTATTATTCAAAATGCGTTTTGTATGTTTAAAAACAACAGAACAATTGCTGTTTTTTTGAAAGAATTAAATATTTGATAATTATCGTAGTATTTACTATTAATATTTAGTATTACAATATGATTATTATCTCGGTATATGCTACTTTATCATAGGTGCCCAAAATTAAAATGCGTTAGTATGTGTGAGAGAAAACAGAACAGTACCGAACAAAATTGTGTGTACATTTTGGTGGTCGGAAAAATTACTGAAGAATTTAACTTTTGTTATTATATAATTGAAATCATTATTAAAAATGTTTTATATGAATTACAAATTGTATATGTCACAAAAATCTAAAAAAGAATATAAAGTAGCATATACCGAGATAATAATCATATTGTAATACTAAATATTAATAGTAAATACTACGATAATTATCAAATATTTAGTTCTTTCAAAAAAACAGCAATTGTTCTGTTGTTTTTAAACATACAAAACGCATTTTGAATAAAAAAATAAAAATCCAAATATACTGAAACACTTTTAACCCTAAGTGTTATTTCGTCGATTTTCTAGTTGTGCGGACACGGAGTCGTGCGGGCACCCCAGCATGTGTTCATTTGTTGCCTGTCAAACAACGACTGACTGAAAGAGCATAACAATGCGTGTGAGTAGGCAGCTACTTTAAAGTATACTGATGGGCACCTATGCCTATGGTTGAGCTGACCGCTAGAGTGCAAATTACAGAAAGTGGAAGAAAATTCGTAAGTAATGCAAAGTTTCATAAAATTAGAAACTAATTCCTTATATATTTTTAGGCAAGTTCCAGATAGAGGGCAATGTATTGATGCAGGAAGCTTAAATGTTCCAGGAGAACATACCAAATAAATTTTTCTTTTATTATTCATTTTATTTTTAATATTAAATGCAATACAAATAATTGTGTTCGGCCTTTGTTTGTTGTTTATTTTGGCGCAAATGAAACGTTTTCTTGAATCAGCTGTTTATTGTGTTCGTCCTTTGTTTGTTGTTTATTTTGGCGCAAATGAAACGTTTTCTTGAATCAGCTGTTTATTTGCTAAATCTTACTAAATGTTGTCTGTTTACTTTTGTCAGTATTGAATAGTACGAATTAATTTGCCCCTTACTAAAATTTGACTTTCTTTGGGATCTTTGGCCACAGCCCATAAACCATTTAAATTAGATTGCAATCTCGCGAATCGCTCAGGATCAACCATAGTTATGGAAACACGACGTAGAGGTAGTCGTCAAGTGTTTCAATCGCTTTTTTCGTCGATTTGCTTTGGTGCCGTTAATTCAGATTTATGCTTGCAACCAGCTGATGTATTGGTAGATATTGAATACAAATCGTCTGTTGTCATTTGTTTCATTTTTGACAAGCATTTCTGACGACTGGAGCCTTGCGCCGATATGACCGGCAGTTGGCCTGATTAACAATAGTAATTTCTTTCGACGATACAATGTCCTGCTGTGCTGATCGTTTTCGTCTCTTCGATACGGGGTTCTTTTCTTTTTTTCATCCTTGGTTTTACGACTATTGCGTTTCGTTGCAGTTTTCTTTGAGGTCGATGGAAACTCTTTCGATGGGGACTTTTCTTTTTCAATTGAGGTTTTCTCGTCTATGGAATTTCTGCCATCCTGTTTGGAAATTTAATCTTTTTTCTTTTGACGTGTAGATCCTTTAGCCTTTTCCTCATTATGAGATTTTAGATTATCCTCCTTTCCACGATCTCTGGTCGCATGTCTTTCATCACGACTAAGAGTAGATTCACCAGATTTCCTATCGTTTTTGGATTTTTGTTCTTCACCAAATTATGTATTAAATTTGTACTCTTTTCCGGCTTCCAAGGCCACCTCTTGTTCCTTTGTCAGTTTAGGTTTTTTCCATTTGTCAGTCTCTTGTTTCAAATGTGGCAATAGTTTATCAAAATCATTGGTATTTTTAGGCACATTTATTAATTGTACTAAACATACATCCTTATCAGAATCTTCCTTATCCTCCTCATCGCCATCAACATCACCAAATAAATTTCTGTTTTTAACAACCAAAATATTTTTCTTTAAGTCATCAGCTTTGGAAAATTGTATGTGTTCTTTAATGAATTGTGGTGTACACATTAATAAGTCCATATCAGATTCTGTGGATGTGGTACTGACAGCAGAAGATATTTTCTTAACCCTGAACAAATTTCGCTCAGGCATTTTTAAAACGTTTGTACTGTTAATGGATTTTTCTAATCCCTTTGGACTTGTTTCCACTTCGGCAAAGAAAGCAGCCCGATTTCTATACAAGTTTTTATCTTCCAATAAGGTGGAGTTAAAGCAATTATGTCTGGCTTTTATGCTTGACCCGATTGAAGGTGTTGTACATTTTGTTACTCTGCGTGGTGGTACAAACGCTTGGATTCATCATCACCCATAACATTGTCAAATAGACAATGTTTTTGACTAAAATTTCATGAGGGTTTAACAACTCTAATTTGGACTTGTTTTGTTTGTTTATCTTCAATTTTATTTGAATTACTTTTACGTGACGATGACGTAGAAGTTGAGGAATGTTCCGAAGAAGCACCATTACCGACAAATAGCCGAGTGGGATCTAATTTATCCGGTTGAATGTACTCCTTGTCACTAAGTGTTAAAAACGCTTCACCAACGTTACCATCAAAAATATTCTTTTCCTTTGGCTTTTAATCGGTTTTATCCACCATAGCATTGTTAGCCTTGTTCGAGAAATTTCTTGAGCGAACACCGACTTTTGTACATTGTTCAATTCGAATCACTCTCTGAATAACCAAGAAAATTGTCCCTTCCCTAACAATTGAGAGTATTTATCGAAAATAAATAAATTTTGACAGCATGGAAATATCTATAAAATGAAAATTAAAAAAATTGTATGGCTTTTATATGTGTAAATTTTGTTTTCTACATAATGCAATATGCATTTCATTCCCCTTAGTTCTAATTAGCGTACAAAATAAGAAACAAATGTGGGGAAACTCAAAAAAAAAAAAAAAAAATCTCCAAATTTTTATATGTGACATTTGAATTGAGAAAATATAAACATTTATTAAAACGACGATATTTTCAGAAAAAATGGAAAACATGAATTAAAAGTAAATAGATGTGGGTTAAGACTATAGTCAGGAGAAAGAGAATTATTTTTTTTCTATTTAGATCTCATTGACAATGGCTTCTAAAGCTTGACAATCAAAGAGATCAGGCGTTGAACAATTTAAATCATCGTTGATTTGGGGATTGACCACATCCGAATTAATATTGGTCACCTCATTATCTTCCTCAGTATTCAATAAAACTGTATTGTGTTTAATAAGGGGTATAACTTGTGACTGCATCAGTGAATTGTCTTCTTCGCCGAAACCATCATTGTAATCTTGGGTACAAATTCGTATTTGACTGCCACTGCCATTTGTGCCATATATACCCTTTGTGAACATACAAATTCCTGGGTTTCTGGTATACAAAAATCAGCATCACCGATGGAATTATTAAGGTTTCCTTCCATACCGGTTTTATCACCTTCCGAGGTTGAACTTTCAGCAATGGAAAGATTTGAAGGCACTGCTGTCATGGGAAATTTCCAGTTGTTCATTATTTGTTGTGTGGTGCTCTTCTTAGATATTTTTATTTTAATAAATCCGTCCGCGATCTCCCGACCACAGCAACCGGCACTTAAGAAATCGATTTTGTCACGCATCGCGAAGCACTTGGTGTTATAGTTGACAATGAATTATCTTTTATTAATAACTTATCTGGCAGGATTTAGTACTTATTAAGAAAAATTTATGCAGCGAATTTATATATGCCTCTTCGAGTAAAGAAATTTTTAGCCCATGCATTATTGATCTCTAACATACTATATGGTTTGGAAGTTGTTTCATGTTTCATAGGCTTACAGAGGACGGTAAATGCAGTAGTGCGCTTTTTTAAAATGTTCCTCTCAGGAATCATTTATTCATTTCAATTTATTTCGTATTGTAATCTTGCAACTTTTTACAATGTTATTAAGGGTGGCAAAACAACACTCCTATTTAGAACTTTTACGTTTTCACACTCTACAAGAAATCCCCAGATAATTATTCCCAGAATCTATAAAAATACCTATTCTAGGTCGTTCTTAGTTCGCGTTGCACGGATTAAGGGTATTTTCTCACTCCAATAATGTCGTTACGAAGAAACTTCTCCTACATTTTACTTGATAGGAATAATGGTTTAAAACACAATTCTATATTATAATTCAACAAAGTTTGTTGTATTGTTTTAAATTATTGTACAATTTTCAGAAGTTATTGTTATTTTGTATTTTTATGGCTGGGGAGCCCAATTATTAACTTTTTCTTTTGTATATATTTGATGGATTGTATATGGTCTTGAAGGCCTTGTATTACAAACCACTTAGGTTTTGTTAGCTAGGTAATATTTTTATATGGCCTTGAAGGCATTGTATTACAAAAGCGAATTATGTATAAAGAAATAAAGTAATGTTGGAGCGTTCAATTTATAATTACTTTATTATTTTTTTTGAAGTAGAGAATTAATTACATATATAGTGCAATATACTCATTTAAATGTTCAGAGTTTGCATTGATTTCGTGATGTTTGAATCAATGTCCCAAATAACCAATTGACCATCTACCCCAGATGTGCTAACACGAGTTCCATTCTGTTTATCACCTGCATATAGACGAATGCAAGTAATTGCATTTTGATGAATGGAGTCAACAAGAGTATCTGAATTTTCAGTACGCAAATTTCTATCCAAGGATTGGAATATACGCATAGCTGAAATACCTCCACTTTCCTTCTTTTGCGACTTGTCAAGTTTGTTTGTAAGGACGAGCTTGTCACCCTGTAGTGTATACACCAAGGGTACACAGCTGTGACCAGCTACCACCACAGATGTAAGCGATATCCATTCACAGGCCAAAAAGGGAAGAAATTCGGTCTTGCATCTTATTATTGTATTTGAGTTAGTTGCATCTGCGATATTTATGCAACTGTCATGGCTCACCCAACATATTTTATTTCCATCACTGGAAAATCTAACACTATTTATCCAGCCACCTCCGTAGGTGCTAGAATTTTTGAACTCGGCCATTAAATTACCCAAAGGCATGCGATTTCCCCATGGTGTTGGTAATGGTTGATCTTCGATATCTTTAATATATGCAGAAAAAATGCGAACCTGTAAGAAAATAATAAAAACAATTGCAATATATATATATATATCTTTACGTTACCTTATAATCAGTAGAGCCGGCTGCCAAAAGTATATTGTTTGGATGCCAGTCAAGAGTCGTTATTGTTGATCTGATAGGTTTCTTTATATGCTTAGATACCCACCAATCATTTTCAGACTCAAAATAGCATACCGAAATAAGACGAGCTCCAGAACCTACCGCAAACTTGTTTTCTGCAGGGGACCATTTAACGCAAGTAGCGGCTCTGTTGATACGCAATAAAACCAAGGTAGGTTTCCATTTGCCGTCCTCGCCTTGCTGCCAAACGTATGCATTACGATCCGCAGCACAGCTGACAATGCGATTAGTGTTTTCGGCCCAATCAATTCCCATTACTCGCAAATCATGTTGATTTAATACGTCCACAATTTTCCACTCATTGTTGTCCCTCTTATAGATATGTATTTCGTTATTATTCGGAGACAATGCAATTTCTAAATATACATTATTAAAATAAGCCAAATCCGTATAAATGCAGACTTACGATTCCGTTCTTTATTCCAAGCATGACAAGTAATTGGCGCAAGACTTCCTCCAAATGTAAATGTCTCAGCCATTTTTATTAAATCCTTTCACAATCAAAACAAAAAAGTAAATAATCGCGGACTCTGGGCCGTCTACACGATTATGAAGATATAAAAAAATGAGTAATTGACCACACCTGCGTGATGTTAGCACATCGCAAACTGTCGATAACATTTTTTTTATCGAAACTACAGGGTGAAACAGATCGGAAAAAATTTCCTCTCAGCAGATTGTGTTATGCCATGGTGTTTGCATTTTAAAGATTTTTTTAATATTTTATTTATTTTTTATATATTTTATTATATAAATTGCAAAAATAAAAAATTAAATTTCACTTGCACAAATTAAAGCAACAGGTTTGTAAACAAAAGCCGGCTGTGTGTCAGTAAAGCGAATAGGTTCAAAAGGAAATGTCAAGAAAATTGTTTTCAACGAACAGAGCAAAGCAGAATTTGCGTGTACGGCAAATTCTGAACCGGCAAATTTTTGTTTTTCTTCCTCGCACCCCTCTCGCCAACAAACTCAGTATTTGCCAAATAAAAATTTGCCTGTGGAAAAGCAGACTAAATATACCCGTTCATACAACACTATTCTTAATTCATGTCATCGGAGTATATTTTTCCAAACTTTTTGTTTCTTGTTTTAGGGTCGAACCTAAATTCATGCTTATGCGTACGATTTTATTCACCTCAAAAGTTAAATACATGTATTTCAATGAATGTTACCCAAATACTTAATTTTCAACATTGACAATGCGTATTTCTGATTTTTTGTTTTTTGAAAATAGAATTCCAGTCATTGAAAAATTTGTTTTTCTAGAACTGTAAACATTTTTCGGTTAATTAAGAAAATATTTTCATCAATTTTCGCCGTTTTCAATCGACACATAAGTAAATAAGGCTCTTACGTATTTTGGTAATACGGACGTTCAACAAACCCTATCAAGGTGAGAAGGTGGGTATTTAAGTGCGCAATTCACTGAATTTAGGTACGATACGCCTACGGGAAGCAAAGCTGAATGCTAACGGACGCGTCCACAGGTTGCGGATAGTGGGAAGCCCAACAATATTCGTTGGGTAACTGTTAATAACCAATAAACAGTCGCGGACAATCAGCGGGCTCAGGGGGAGAGTCTCGGAGGAAATGACCGAGTGCCAGTGATCCCGGAGCCGACGAGGCGAGAATGGCGCTCCTCTCATATATCCATCTCAAAGGTTTGGGACACTACCTTCCTAAAGTGTCCCCCCTAACGCTGGGGTGTCATGCGACCTCGTGCCTATCAGCGTTCCACGGTTTGCAGTCAGGGTACCGACTGTATTCGAACGGAGCCTTGTTGATACCTGGGCGCCTCAACAAGTGTTTCAGGCTTAGTTGCCAAGTCCTTGCCATGGTAAGAGGCTATGCCATGGTCGACCTCAAATCCTCACACACAGCACTTTTTATGGAGCCGACTTTTGATTAGAACTACGGTGATAAACACAGTAGCAACCATGGTGTCTCCTCTGAAGCAAGGAGGGTCCTCTCAGTTACTGACTAAGGAGGTAAACCCTGGCGAGGTTGAAGATATCGACTCAATCTCCACGGCCTGCAGTGTCGTCGCGAGGCTTCTCAGGCAGTTGGCTGTCGAAACAGATGCTGGCACCGATGAGGCTCCCATCGTTAAGGTGGATGATTCATCGGAACCAGTATCTGCTAGGCAAGCTGACGCTAAGGAGATCGCTGCCAAGAAAATGTATCGGAGAGCAGTAAATTTCTGCAAACGATACATTGGACGGGATAGCGACTCCATCACGGGGAAGGAGTTCCTGTTAATCAAGAGGAACCTCAAGCTCATTAGGAAGTTCTCTAGGAACTATCCTGATGATATTGAGAGGGACTTCTCGATTGATAGGATCCCCCGACCCAGTACTAGGACCACAGCGGTAGTCCCTTCTAAGAAGGAGAAACCTGCTGATGGCCCCGGTACATCCAGGAAGCTGATGCCTGAGACGTCTAAGCCCTCAGCACCCCCTAAGGGTAAACTGAGTATTGAGACGTCTCAGACATCAGAATCCAGAAAGACAGAAGGCAGGGAACTGTCGAAATCGGCCCGAAAGAGAGCCCGTAAGAAGGCCTCCAAGAAGACCGACAAGGCACAACCGCCCTCTGTCAATTGGGCAGTCGTTAGTGGACAAGCAGAAGGTAGCGGACGTGAAGCAGGTGCCTGCATCTGCTGGGCATACCTCTGCAGTAGCTGCTACCCCGGGCGCCAAATCTCGGCCACAGCCCACGGCTGTCAAGAGAATGAGGTCCTCGGAGGAGCAACAACCTGCTGCAAAGAGGCCCACGCAGTCGTCGGCCGTACAGAGCTCTGCTTCCTTTGCTTCAGTGGTAGCGTCGAAGGAGAAACTTGCCAAGAGCAGCGATTGTGGGGTGAAAACCAAACACGCTGTCTCGAAGCAGGTAGCCCAGACACCTACAACGGAGCAAAGCGACTCTGCTGATCCGAAAGAGGTTCCGGAAGATCTGCGGGTAGCGATCATCGACCGAGTTGACGCCGACGGGTTTATCAGTGAGGATAGATGGGAGCTGGTCGACAGCTATCTGAAGGACCTCTTCCTGTCCGACGAGGTTGATCGAGAGAGCTTGCGGTTTGGCCTGACCTCCTCTTACAAAGGGGTAAAGGTTGTTGATTGTCGCACTAAGAAGACTTCAGATTTTCTTAAGAAGACAATCAACAGCCTGGACCCCCTTTGGGAGGGTGGTCGTCTGGCGGCTGTAGCGGTTCAAGAGATACCGAGCGGTATGGTAACCTCGGTGTTTATCCCAAAACCTTTCAAGGGGCTGGAGAAGACACTGAGGTTATTGGAGAAGCAGAACGACGGCCTTCAGACGAGGAGGTGGAGAATCCTCGCCTCGTTTGAAAGGAACGGCGGTGTAGTCGCGAAGTTCGCTACTGATTCTGCGGGAGAGGAGTATTTGAGGAAGAACAAGGGTGAGCTTGTTTATGGAATGGGGAAACTTTGTTTCCGCCTCACAACTCCAAAACAATAAGCAGACAGCAGCAAGCGCTTAACGTGATTCAGATAAATCTGCATCACTGTAGAGCAGCAGCTGCTGAACTGCTACTCACCCTCTCTTCCTCAAACATCGACGTGGCGCTCATTCAGGAACCTTACCTGTACAAAGGCAAGGTGACTGGACTGGGCGACACAAAATACACGCTTTTGTCTACCTCCAATGGAGAGAAGGTGAGAACGTGTATTCTTGCTAAAAAGGAGTTAAATTTAATGCTTCTTTCTAATTTCAGCAATGGAGATATGACGACAGCAAGACTAGACAGAGGTACCACGAAACCACTGATAGTCTCTGCCGTCTATCTTCTCTATGAGGCTCCTGACCCACCCGGTACTGTGGTATGCCGCCTATTAGAGGAGATGGGCAGAGTTGGTGATATCATCATCGGATGTGACGCCAACGCACAACACTTCCATTGGGGAAGCAGCAACACAAATACAAGATGTGAGTCCATTTTCGAGTTTATACTTAGCTATAATCTTAGAATTTGCAATAGCGGCAATACACCAACTTTTGTTAATAGGGTGAGAGGTGAAGTCATCGACATAACCTTCACAAATATGGACGACTCTGGGGTCGTAAACTGGGAGGTGTCTGAGAAATGTTCCTTTTCGGGTCATAGACTCATATCCTTCCAGATTCCTACCTCGAGAGCTAAACAGAAACCCTATAGGAATCCTCGGAAGACGAACTGGGACAAATTCAAAGCTAAACAGCAGTCTCTTTTCGGGATCGTAATGATCTCAAAACGACTGAGAATGTTGAATTAGCTGTGAAAAATGTCACGGCCACTCTTCTGAAGAGCTATGAGGCTCCTTGTCCTCTAACATACCCTGGGAAGAAATCTCAGCCGGTATGGTGGTCACAAGACCTTGCAACCTTGCGGAAGGCTGCAAGGAAAGCCTATAATAGAGCTAGTAAGACAAAGCTCAGTACAGATTGGGATGTTTATAAAAGACAATTCAATAGGTACAAAGGCGAAATCAAGAAAGCTAAACGTGAGTCTTGGGTCTGCTATAGTGAGTCGATCGAAGGAGTCAACGAAGCGGCCAGATTCCGCAGAGTACTATCTAAGGATCCAAAATCCATAGGAAGTATTAAGCGAAGTGATGGTACGTGGACAAACTCTGGTAGTGAGTCTCTCGATCTTCTATCATCAACCCACTTTCCTGGTTGTAAGGACTATAGGGAAGATGCGCAGTGTGTGCATCAGCCTACAGTTCGGACGAGGGAAGAGGAGAAGATGATAGAAGACACTATAAGATACCCAAAACTGATATGGGCGATAAACAGTTTTCAACCCTATAAATCTCCTGGTCCAGATGGTATAATACCGGCCATGCTGCAACACGCAGATGAACGAGTAATATCATTTCTGCAGGACATTTTTAGGGCTTGTTTACTTCTGTCGTACATACCAAGTCTATGGAAAGAGGTTACCGTGACCTTCATCCCGAAAGCCGGGAAGCCGAGTCATACGTTACCTAAAGACTATAGACCGATTAGCCTTTCTTCCTTTCTATTAAAAACTTTTGAAAGGTTACTAGACTCAGAAATTAGAAATACCATCGACCGTAATAAACTTAGTAAATCCCAGCATGCCTACATCAAAGGCAGATCAGTGGATACAGCTCTGCATGAGGTGGTTGGATGTATCGAGAAGAATATGGAGTCCTCTGGCTACACGTTGGCAGCATTCCTCGATATCGAAGGAGCTTTCAACAATGTAAAGCTAGAGGCAATCCATTCTGCTCTTGTAGACATAGGTATCCCCTCACTCCTTACGGAATGGATTGATAGAATGCTGGAAAGCAGAATTATCAACTCATCCTTAGGAGAGAGTTCCGTGAGGAAATCTGTCAACAGAGGCACACCTCAGGGAGGAGTACTTTCCCCCCTTTTGTGGCTTCTGGTGATAAATGAGATACTTATGAAATTCAATCATCTCAAGATAAAGGTTGTAGCCTATGCCGAT